TCTGGCGCGAATCGCAATCGAAAAGTCCTCGGCCGGGCCGGGCCCCGGGCTGAAAAGGCTGACGCAGGTGCTCCAGAGCCCGCCGAAGTGCTTCTCCCCCAGCAGGGCCTCTGGACACTCGGACAACAAAGCACCCACTCAGAAAAGAAAGCTTTCTTTCTCAGGCTGTTTAAAGAGGGGGGGACGGGGGGCCTCTTGCACCATCTCATTCTCTTCCCAGGCTGAAACATTTTGCAGGTTCCTGAAGATGGTGTTGTTGTGCGCAGCGACCTGACGAAAGGAAAGCTGCTAGATGCGAGCCCCCATCAGTTGACAGTCGGTAAGAGGCTGGCTCCGTTGCAGAACAGGATGCTAAAAATGAAGATGATCAGGCAGATCACGATCTGCAAGCACGATGTGGTTTCGGCGCCGAACGCATTGCCTTACAGTCGTCTGCAGGCAAGCCACCAGAGCCCAAAGCAAGGAGGTAAAGGAGTTGATCAAAGCGAAGATCATGGTCCGCAGAGACTTCAGGCTCCTGGGCCGCAGCAGGAGGAGCCCTAAAACATCATAAGCACTTTTACAAGAGAGGACCCAGAAAAAGGATCGACTCCGAGGCTCTTCACGTTTCGCACCACCCGCACCAATCGCACTAATCCTCAGAGCCAGGGCTAAGAGAGGGCCAGCCGAGGCCCAAAAGACTTCCGCCGGTAAGGCCAGAGAAACTCTGCTGACCAGGGCTCTGAACACTCGGAGGATGCGCAAGAAGCTGAAGTTTGCCAGTGTTGTGAAGGTTTCCAGACCAGAGTTCAAAACCAAGACCTCAGCCGTCCACACTCATCAACATCTACCCGCTGCCGAGATAGGCTGCACATGTCGCAGGCTCGGGGGCCAGGCGATGTCGAAAACATTCCTTATAATAGCACAAAAAGGACTCTGTAGAGATATACAAGGCTCGCATGATTTTGCCAGGTGCAAGGCTTTGCCTGTAGCCGAGGCTCCACCACTTCTCTTCGCCCTCAAAGAATCCGCGGCGCTCGGCGCCCAGTCGAATCACGAGTTCCACAACGAAGATGACCTGGAGCTTGTCATGGCGTGTCGGAGTCTCGGGCTGTCTTTGCAGCCGAAGGAGGCTCTTCTCCCAGCTGAGGGGCTGGAAACACGATGTCCGCGGCCGGCAGGTGGGGCACCGCATCCTCGCCAAAAAAACCGACCAAAGACTGGTGCCTGTGGCTTCTAAGGTGCGAGCTGGGCTAACCTTCCACACTCACTCTCACTCTAACTCTCAGCACCCGCCAAAGCTTGGGTTTGCATGCTGCATGCGGAAGCAACTAAACCACGGGAGCAGCGTCCAAGCACTCGAGCCGAAAAAATGTAGGAACCGCTGGTAGCTGAGGCAGAAAGAGAGCCCGGGTCCTGGTCTTGAATACTCCGAAAGCTGTTCCGCACCTGGCGACTCCCAGGCGGCGCGGAACTCTCGGAGTCCCTCAAAAGGGGCCTGCAAATCTGCATCGAAGCCCAAGTAGGCGGAGTTTGCCAAGATGGCCTGACAGGACGGAGCTGCCCTTTGTTGCGGAAGGCCTACGACGATGCGGCCAAGTGGCAATCATCACTAGAAGCTTGAAGATAATGTGCCTCAGTGCCAAGATGACGTGATGAATCACTTGGCGAGGCCGCCGCATGAACCAAAAACTTGGCCTGGAGATGGATTGGAGAAAGTTCGGCTTGCGCCACTCGAAATCTCCGGCGGGTACGAAAGCGGACATCATCCGGCGCATGCTGGCCTTTGCAGGCTTCCGATAGGATCGAGAGCGGGAGCACCAAGTCTCGCACACACGTTTATGCACTCCCCGGCAACTTGCCCCGATACACTCGGCACTGCCTGGGATTCCAGTTCCTCCATGAGAATCTCCCGCTGCGTGAGCATGCCGAGCCGGGCCGCAGAGAGGGAGACGTTGACAGACTCCTTCAGCCTGAGGGTGACAAATAGCGCAAGGGCTCCCTGAAAAGGAATCTGTCTCCGCAGATGCGGCATGCGGCTAAAGCCGGAACAACAACTTCTCAATAGAAGGCACGTTTGCCATGTGTTGCTCAACATGACACCGACAAACTCCACCAGTTCGCCTTTGGTTCAGGGGTCCTGGGACCTGGCTCAGGGAATTTTCGCCGCCAAGCAGCCCAAAGGTTCGAGCTCGGAGGCCCTCTTTGTTTCTCGCCTTTCGTCAAGCGACTGCAAAAAAAGGGATCCATTCAAGCAACAGCAGGGAAGCGACGTCAATAAAATCTGCGCGGTGCCTGGACTTTACGCTTTGGCTTCGGGCTCGGAGCTAGTGTGTCCAGCGTCAAGATTCCGCTTGAGTCCTGCGAAGGCATAACAGCCGTCGGAAGCAGCAAAGCTTTGACACCCCTGTCCTCCACTTCACTAAAAAGCCCAGATTTGGCATCGTCGGGGAAGGTTCCAGGCAGCATCGGCCTTGTGCAAAATTCTCAAGCCAAGCCCAAAGCTCGCCGTTTCCAGCTCCACTTGGCACCCGACGCTTGCTCTTCAGACATGCTCTTGCTGTCAGGCCTGCTATTTGCACAGACCGCAGTGTGTCCGCACCTTTCTTTGGGTGCATCCCCATTCCCGGCGTCCGGCCTCCGGCTGTTATCGAAGTCCTTCGAACACTCTCCTGGCAGGTAGAGTCGCGAAGGCATGGACCGCTCAGAACCCTGCACCCGCAGCGGCAAAAGCCGCACCCACCAGTCTAAAAGCCCGGAAGACATCATCAAAACATGCAGCCACGAAATTAGTGAAGGCTCGGCAGCTCTCCGCTAATGCAACTCTTTCCACCCCTGCTGCACAAGGCATTGCTCTGGCGTAGCCCAGAATGTCCCAGAAAGCACCCCGAGAAGGAGCCGAGGATCGGCTTGGCTGCAGCTCGGAAACCTGGGCCTGTCAGCACAGGAAGCAGTTCCGGAGTTAATGCCTCTCTCCACTAAAAGCAAACAAGAAAGGACCAGGTCCACTTATAGGTTTTAAATGGGTCTGGAAGGGGCCAGCGGACAGTAGAGCCCATGGCGCGCCCTCCTGTGTTATGCTGCTGTTTTAAGATGAAGGAAGATGCAGGCATGGTCGGTAAAGCTTGGTGATCTACCGAGCCCATGCATATTGGAAAGCCAAGAACACTGTAGTTCTACGGCGTCCGAAGAGCCGATACTTGCAAGCACAAGCCGGAGCTTGAGAAAGGAAACGCAAAACACCTTCGAATACCAAAGACAAAGCCACGACGAAATTCAACCCTAACTTGCACTTGAACTGGGCCCAAATACCCCTCTCTTACTAGGTTTAGTTGAAGGGTACCCATTTTGGGGACATCCCTTTGCAGATTTCTGCTTATCTTCATACCCGAAGCCGAAGGCTTCTAGCTTGGGAACGAGCCTTCAGCATACGGTTCTCCGCCCGCAGGGCCTGGCGACATGTACGGTTTTGGGGCTGAGGGCCAAAGCCCGAATCCCGAAGCCCTTAACGCGCATGACAAGAAGTCCCCGTTCCATCGCTGTGAAGGCATGTGTCCCTGATGCGTTTGCCAACGTGCTTTTGCTGCTACTCTTACGGCTCTTGCATTCTTGTCATGCTTCACTTGGTAGAAAAGCTCCGACTTCTTATCATGGTGCTGGATTCCAGTACTACTCTCACTGCATCACTGTCATGTGTGCCCGGGTGCTGCTGCTATGACGAAGGTCACTGCCGCAACTTCTGAAACTGCACCTCTCACTGGTCTGATTACTGTATGTCAGTTCTTCTTCTCACTGCTGCTGCATTGACCAAGACTAAGATTGTGTTTGTGTGCGCAACTCATTTTGACTACTGTGCTTGCGACAAGCACTATGATTCCTAGCCTTGTGCTGTCCCTGCCATGACTACCCAGGCTATCAGTGACTATCGCCATGTCTATCGTCCCTGTTGGCACTGCCATTCGCCCTAGCACGAGACATGATCCGTTTTGTACCGGACTGACTTTTGCTCCGACGCAGCGGAATACTGAATCCTGCCTGCGAGCCTATAAGACTTTCTTGCACGCGACCATGCTGGCCTACAGGCTCCAAGATGCAGAGTGCCCGCCTCGACTTGACTGCCAAGCTCGAACCAGCAGCGATGCAAGCTGTTGAGACACCTCCGCAAGGCTCCAGAAGTACTTTCGCTTGCAAGTATTCTACATCTAGCCTGATGCTCGCCCCGCCCTGGCCTTTTGATAAGGATTATGTGCGAGCGCTCAGTGGATTCGCTCGAACTCCCCCTAACCTGTACTCCAGACGATCTTCAGCACAGAGCCTGGCCTTGTCAAGGGATCTTCCGCCTCCGAAAACATAGTCAAGAGAGTGCAGTGAAATTGCTCATTCTTGTGTCATCATGCGCTACACGAAAAGAGTGGTGCCAGAAAGCGAGCTGGTGAACCAAACACAAATCACTCTGCGAGCCTCGACGTCATTCTCTCCACTTGCTTCGGTCATTGCGCGGAGTTGCACGGCTACTCTAGCCAAGAAGCACTCTTTCCCTTGCATGTACGCTTACGTCTCCTGGGGAAATCTCTCTGCGCGGTGCCTACAGCAACCATCAAGCTTTGCTACTGGTTCGGTGTTCAGACTCATGGCTCAGCAGCAAGACTCTTAATCAGGAATCTTCAAACTCATGTCCGACATATTCCGTGCAGCGGCTGTTCAACAGCCTTGCGAGCCCGTCAGCAGAATATCCACGGCCATCGCAACACATGATTGTGCATCTCATGTCTAGCATCGTGAAGAGCCAGCCTCAGAAATCCTACATACCCAAAACATCACAAAACTGTCCGTGCCACTCTCCCATCAGCTGCCTTTTCTACAGAAGCGCTTCTGATGAATGTGGTCAGCTGCAACTAATTACGTAGCGGTTAACGCAGCTGCATGCCTTCTGACAGGGATGGAGCTGGGACCGCTTATGACTGGGCAACCGAAGAGAGAAGCTGCAGCCATCGACAGCACGTCATTGGCGCTGCCATCATCTAACCCAACAGCCTGACAGGGGTCTGCGACATGCAAGCATCTCTGCGTTCTTGCAGGCGGATGTTTCACGGACAACGGAACCAAGAAACGGCACACCACCGTGACCTCAAGGCCTGGCTTCCTCTCCCGAACTCGAATCGGCCTCTCGGAGGCGTCTCCTGCAGGAAAGGCACGCGCGACATCGAAGTGTCCCTGCCAGGCGGGTCCCGCTGCCTCCGATCCGGGCCTCGGCTTGGCCTCGAGCCTGCACTGAAAGGAAAGCGAAGGGCACAGAAGGGCAGAGACAGAGCGGGTGCGCGTGTGCCGTCCCCCCCCCCCCCCGCCCGGTCCTCGGAGTGGTGCCAGACGCTGAAGCTGAGCAACATCGTCAGGACACCCACGGCCTGGCACGGAAGAGACCGCGTCATTGCTGAAAGGGCTTCTGCACAGCCTCTCTGCCTGAGGCCATCGAAAGTGGCTGTGCACCACAAACAAGTCCAGCAAGAAGTTCAAAGGAATGCCTGGAGCAGCGGAGCCCTCTGAGCGACTTGGTCTCTGCCGGCCACGAAGCAAGGGGCCTATTTGCGTTCCAAGGCTTGTGGTCACCGGCGTCTCCCGTGAGAGGCCGAACTTGATCAGGAAGTTGAAGAGCTCGGGCGGCGGAGGCGGCGGTGCTAAGGGGGAACACTTCGGAGTACAGGTCATGACGCGCAAAAAAAAGCTGGCAGAGCGGCAGGGCGCATGACTCCAGGAGTCCGAGACGCAGGCTGCAGAGCTGAGGGCGGTCATCACCACCATGACCTCATACCGATGCTGGCTCATATGAGGACTAACGAGGACTCCCATGTGTGGCTTTTATTTGGCGGGGACACGGCATGCAGACCCTAATCAGGCACCAGAGTTTGCCAGATTCCCATCACAAGAGTTCCACTGGGCAGATGTTTGGCCATGCTGTCGGTCGACAGTCATACAACAGCCATGTGAGACGAAGAAGCGAAAAGACGGACATCAAGCAGCACCCAGAGCGCGCTGCCCAGGGTACTTCCTCCATGTCGAGGGCATAGAGACCCCTGCAGTCAGGACATTGGTCTTGTTGGGCTCTCCTTCGCCATCTCGCCATGACGCCTCTGAAGCTTAGTGGTCTAGCTAGCCTACCCTTCAGCCCGACTAAGATGAGATCCTGTACGGCCATCGGAAGTTCATGAAACCGTGAAGGGCAAGGCCAAGGGTTTCTGAAGGCCTGGCTTTTTTCACCTGGAGACGCTCCCGTGCCTGTCCACCGCCAGCCAGAGCACGGCTCCCATCAGAGCCGACGCCCAGCCTTGCCGCTCCCTTACCCGGGCCCAGTTTCGCAGAAGGGCTTAGGGTTTGGGGTTAAGGTTGGCAGAAGAAGCACCTCCAGGAATGTAGGAGGCTCCCTACTGTACGTAGCCTCCCAACACTGTTAGCTACTCGGAGAAGACTCGCCACGTTCTCAATGCGACCGACCCGTCTCTCAAGGATGTTGCCTCACACTGCTGTTCGTCGGCTGCTTCGAAACGCTATCCCGAACAGGCAACTCTGTTGAAAAAGAGTTGCGCTATCAAGTGCAGGAGCGCGAAGAGTTCACAGTCAAACTGAGACAGGGGCAGCCCATGTGGGCGAGAAACAGTCCGACCTGTACTGGACAAAACATGCAAGAACCTTTCTGACTGTCCTTTGCACAGAAGTCACTATGCAACAAATTGGGTGAGATCTTTGGGCCCCTTTTGTTCCGGCCCGCGAGACGCCAGATGTACTCGACACACGGAAATCCTTCACTGGACTGTGGCGGCGCCCGGGACGCCACGGCGATGCCACGGCGAGGGACGGCGACGGCGACCTTCGCCTCCTCCTCCAAGCGCCGCGAGGGCGGCTCGGCTCTTCTCCGCCTCCTGGAGCTGGAGCTTCGCGAGCGCTGCGCTGTGTGCTGCCTTTCTCTGCCGCATCACCATCCGTCCTTTCCACCTTCTTGCGACAAGTCGGCAATCTAAATGCCGAAGGTCCGTGGAATGTCCAGTCTGCTGCAGCTATCTTCGACTGCTTGGATCACCTTAGGTCTGTGCTTCTTCTCGCACAGAACGGAGCAAGCTTGGGATCTTCTGGTCTGCCGAGCGAGGAGCGCGCAAGGTGCTGCAAGCACCGTGACACGTGTGCAGCGTAGATCTTGGGGAGCTCCTCCCTGAGGGCAGGGAAACGGTGAAAAACGTGGCACAGAGAGAAAGAAGCGGCTCTACCCGGCACCTGGGTGCTCGGAGTTGAAGCAGCCGGCGCATGGCCTCCACCAGCTGCGGCCGCGGCACAGCTGCCTCGGGGAACGCCAATATTCGCCAATGCCCCTCAGAGGAGAGCAAGGTGAATCCAAAGCCAGGAAAACTTCAAAGATTGAAACAGATCGGCCAGGATTGCACTTCGTCTTGCTGTGTGTGTCAAACCCTGCTGCATTTCCCCACTGCACTTCTCTTAGGCGTCCTACTTGTGAATTCCTGGAGACGGACAGGGAGGGTGGACGAGCTAATGACGTGTCGACCTCTCCTTCGTGCAGATCTTCCCCGGATCTCCATGAGATTGTCTGGCGACCCCCAGTGTACTTAAGATACGGGTGTTGTGCAGTGCCACGGGTTGCCCTAGACAAATCGCTGTGAACTCATCCTGGCGATGTCCAGCAAGAACGGAAAGGTCTGAGTTTCAGCTCTTGCTGCATACTGCTTTTCAGCAGGAGTAAGCATCGGGAAGCTAGATGGCTGGCAGTTAAACGGCACAGAACCCACCGATTGCTAGGTCGGACGACTGAGGACAGAAGACAGAGAGGCGGACCGTGTTGCTCTCGACACACCGAGCTTCCGGCATGTCGAATCTCACCCGCTTCCTGCAGAGATCGAAGAAGCCACGGCTGGAAGCGAAACGGAAAGCACAACAGAAAGCCCTGCAGATGTCTCCTTCAGCCGGCGCCGGAGCCTCGACTCCTCCGCGGCCAGGCGCCAAACCTGAAAACGCTCAATCTGAGTGTCCGCTTTTAAAAGCGTCCCGGTGGGATGCTGGCTGGGCCTGCTCCTTCATAAGCATTGGCGTCTGCAGCTGCTTGCTGGTCTCGTTGTGCATTGCAATCAGTTATTCATTCTACGTCTCTATATATATATATACATACACACACATGCACATATATATATATATATGTTTACCTTCCGAAAATTGGCCTGCGTATCTATCCATCCACCTGCTCTTATTCCAACCACTTCGCTCGTTGTTCAATTGCTGCTTGTCGCTTCGTTATCGTATATGCTCCTGCATTCGACTGAGGTGAGATCTTACGAAGAGCCACCGCGACAGAGAGAGAGAGAGAGAGAGAGAGAGAGAGAGAGACTGAGAGACTGAGAGACTGAGAGACTGAGAGACTGAGAGACTGAGAGACTGAGAGACTGAGAGACTGAGAGACTGAGAGACTGAGAGACTGAGAGAGACACAGAGAAACAGCCGGGGAGACACAAAGAGCCAGAAAGAAACCAGACAGATTCATTGACTCGTTGATGCGCACTGATTGAGTGATTGAGTGCTGGGGTGATTAAGAGGAAGATAGGCAGATAGACAGCCAGACAGATAGACAGACAGATAGGTAGACAGACAGGTAGGTAGACAAACCGGTAGATAGATAGACAAGTATATAGATAGATAGAGACGACACAGAAGATTGAGTAAATAGCCTGCCGGCTGCTGAGATAGCCAGCAACCGAACAGGCTTCTCGTATTTACACTTCCTCCCCTGGATGTATGGGTCTGCTGCTTGCCTGAAGAGCTAATTGCTGAACTGAGTGCACCTGAAGACGATGCGGCTCTGTGAAGATCTGGTGCAAGGTCTCGCGGGCATCAGACACCGAGCGTGTGGCCTGGACTCCGACAGGCAGGAAAAAACTCATCCCATGTCGATGCGCCCTTTTTTCAGGAGACTAGGTCCTCCAGTTTCTCTTCCGGCCTGCCAGCCGCACTTTTGCAGCTCCTTACGGTTCCGGTCCCAGAACAACTCCACGGCCTGCCGATGCGCGAAAACTTCGGAGATGCTGGCCGTCTTCTGCAACTCACAGGCCGAGGCTCTTCCATCACCTGGCCCAAACTTTCCTCCCCAGCCTGTAACACTTCAGCTCCAAAAGACGGCAAGAGTCAGCTTGCCTGCGAGGGCTTTCCGGCAATCCTATCCAACCATGGCCTGAAGGTACCCGAAGCGACAGAGGACTCGCTGAACAAGGTCTTCGCCTCAGGGGACGTAGCCAAAGCGTTCGCGTGCTTTTCTCTCATCCCCCAGCGGCCACTCCAGCTTGGGCCCGGACTGATGTATGTCAAGAGAGGCCCTCCCCTCCTGGCCCGGTCCTGAGAGCTCTCGCTGTCCTTGCATGTTGCCGTCGTGCCTGCATGCCCGTGCGACCCGCATCCAGTGTCCAGCCTCCTCGAGACTCTTTGCCCCGGCTGACTCCCCCTTGGGCCTGGGCAGTGCGGGCACCACAATCCTAAGGGAACGCTCTGTGGCCACATGCTCCTGCTTTCTGTGAGAGCTCTGACATGGTCGCAGAGGAGTTTCGGCACTTGGGCGACTTTGGCTCATGCTTTGGCACCTGACCCTCTCACACCTGCTCGGATGGAGACTACTCCACGAGCACAAGCACCCTTCCGCTTCGGGAAGATGAGGAACTTGCTACCTGCCATCGCCTAGCAAGCGGCCTTCGAGGTTGCTTGGGGCCACGAAGGGCTCCCCGAGCACTGGCACCTCAAACTCAGCTTCCCAGACGCTTCGGTTGCAGCAGCAGCTCCTGCGGCAGCAGGAGCGTGGGGCGGCGCGGCGGAGCTTGAAAACTGAGGAGAAAGCCCTACAGCCCTGCCTGGGAGAGCTGAGACGAAGGCCCGAGGCCACAGCGAAGCGGGCGAAGGTGACAAGCCAGACGCAGAGCTCCAGCATCATGGCCTCTAATCCCTACACAGACTCCCCGGAGACACGCACAGGAGGTGACTTGCAGAAGCATCTCGCTAAGCAGAGGCACCAGGGCACAGCCACCCGGATCTTTTGCTGTAACGAACGTCTCAAAGAGGATGACACTGTAGTCACTCATGCCATGAAGAAGCATTGCCTCGGGACCCACATGCAGAACAAGCCGCACGATAAGCATGAATTTGCAGAAGGTGCTGGGATCGAGAGGGCTGAGCCGAGACACCGGCCAGAGCATGCCGAAGAGTAATGGGTTCTGCTTTCGTGGCAAGAAGAGACGACGAGCTAGGCCCACCCCGATCATCCCCGTCCAACAGATATGCAGAGGGAAGAAGCCTCGGATGATCACCACTGGCAAGGCCAGGTCCACCTCCTTTGCAGCCAAACCGTAGCTCAGGTTCTCCACGGCCTCGAAACCAGCACCAGCGGCAACTGCAGCCAACAGCACGTGCTGCGGTGTAGGGGCCAGCTTGAACCACCAGCCACAGTCTCCATTGCTTTGGGAGAAAAACATGCCGCCACAACAGGTTTCCGGGACATCGTTTGGGCTGCGCCGCAGTCGGTAGAAGAACCACACGGCCTTACACGTCTCCTCAATCATGCCGGGGATAGACAGCCAGGCAGCAAAGCCCAAGAACCCGCAGCGCTCCGTCCGCGGACTGATCGCGTGAGGTGCGGTGAATCCCAGCTGGCAATCCGGAAAAGACCGTGCCCAGATAGGCGTCATCAACAACTCACCAAAAGCAGATAGGACGATGCTCAAGATCGTGCTGTGCAGATACATGGAAGCGAGAAAGCCCAATGGCACTCCATCGCCCAAGCGCCACCATGCCAGGAGCAGTATCAAAACCGGAGCCCCGCATGCGAAAAAAACGGCGACACCGCCTGGGCCAAGCACCTCAACAGTGCCCCACAGCCCTGCCAAAGAAGCCAGCAGCACAGCCACAATAACCACCCGGCCGTCACCAGCCAGGGTTCCTGGCATGAGGCATGTGTGTTCACTGCTTTGCACCGGGGTATAAAAATGCCATTGTCTCCCAAACCTCCTCACTGTATGATGGCATATGCAAATGGTCTTGGGAAGAAGCCACGAAAGAAGGCAAAAAACGAAGCAGAGTCCATAGAGCTCGAGCAGCGGGGATGCAGGCACATGTGTATGCAGCTTCTCACCCGCAAATGACTACGTTCTTGTGCTTTACAGTGGCCCACATACAGAGACACCCGTGTCGTATCGTAGTACCTTGACCGACCGCACTGCGAACCGGAATGTCACTGCAAAAGCAATAGCTCAGCTATCTACGAGCAGCTTCGAACTGTCCTGGTGACAGCTTAGCTAATTTCTGAAATATCAGAACCGGCAAAGGAAACGTACCCCGTCCCGCATAAACACAAAATGCAAGTTGCCATGCTGTTTCAACAGAACTGTCCTGGTGGCAGCTTAGCGAAGTAATTTTACTGAGTGCGACGGCGCAGATTTTGGTATCGAATTCCTGGCTGTTGCTTCTTTACTATCGTATGATGGGAGCAGCTGCTGTTACCAACATGTCGCGTAACATGCATGTCACTGGCAGCTTTCAGGCAGCAAGCGCTACAGCCAAAAAGCGCGATGAATCAATCATTTGCGTGGTGGCATGGGGGCGGCCCCTCCGCCTCCCGTCCCTTGGCAAGGAAGAATATGTACAATGTGTGTGGCGCACGTTGGGGTTCATGACTTCCGGGACTTCTGCTTGATGCATGGATTATACTACAACAAGCATTGCAACTTTATACATCTCTTTTAAATTGCTATTGCTTTTCCAGTCTGCAAGTTATGCAGACGCCTGCCATCACTGGCCAAGAACAATCGGCGTCCATGCAGTTCACTGTCCACGTGACACAACCCAACTCTGGAAGTCGCTCGCCGCTCAATCCGGTGAATGCTGGTGACAGGATTGCTCTGGACTCTGTTCAGCCGTGCTTTCTGCGGCATTATTGGGGTGTGACTCCTGGGGGCTGCCGTTTTCAGCCGGAAGGAAGGCCAAACGCCTCCCCCCATGTGCTGGCGTGATGCCAGGATATGAGGAAATGCACACTTCCGCGGATCTCACACGAACACCAAGCTGCACAACATGCTCCACATTCAGACGTGCGCACAAATGCTCAGAAACTGTCTCTCACAAGCGACAACTTTTGTCCGACCACCTGCGATGGTCATCAGAATCGGGCTGCGCAGCTATACTGCAAACTTCAACCAGCCACAGCAGCTGCATCGGTGGCAGACGCCTGCGCTTGAGGTCAAAAAGTGTGCGTCTTCACTTCCGCGAGGTGGCTGGCTTTCGAGAGGAAGATGTGCTTGAGGAACTCTTGCGTCCGGTTTTGCCGTGTTGAGGTGTTGGCCAGTAGAGAGCAGTGTTATGCTGCAACAATTTGCAAAGAAGCAGAATTTTGCATTGCAGCACATTTTTGGTGCCCGGCCCACTTTGAATCCGGCTTAGCCGGGCACATACCTACCTCACCGAAGCGAACGGCTAGGAGGTGGCGACGGGCGTCCACTGCCTGCAAAATGCATGGTCCATGCTTGTTCAGAAACAGACAGATGCCAGACCGAGCCTGGAGATTTTCAGGGGCCAAGTCCAGCTGCTTCTTGAGCTTGCAGACCACACGGATGCAGCAAGCCTTTTCGCAAGTCAAGGACATGTTCCGCCGGGATCTGACGTGTTGGCACTCCGCTGGAGAGTCACCGCCGGTGTCTTCGACCTACACAGTCTTGTATGGAAATCAAGGCATCGAACCATGCACGAGGCGCCGACACTGTGATGCTGACTCCTGTCAAGAAGCTGCTCATCATCAGTGTTCTAACATCCATGTGCCTCACGCTTCGCCCTCTTGGGAGGCATGGCCTGACGAAATATATGCTTTAAGTTGTCAGGCATGTGGCTACTAGCCACTACTTAGTTACTAGCCGGACGGCCTCGGCCGACCCCCCGCTCCTCTTGAGCTCCTGGCAATAAACAGCACATCGTCAGTTTTCTGCTGGGTCCTTCCTGACAACAACCAACACACCAGATAAGGTACTGCTTTTCACGTAGTTCTCATTCTCTACTACCTAAGTAAGTCCTAAGTGAATGGTAAACGACAACTCCCGCAAGCTCCACAGAGCTAGCTTTCCTGAAATTCTGTAAAACCAAAGCACAAAACAGCAAAAACCCGCCATGCCAGATCAAGGCTCTGAGGAAAGCTGCATCGACAGGTCGAGCTGCGGGAAGGGAACCGGAGGAGCTGGGAAAACTGTTCCATGCCTCGAGAGTCTTCAACACAAAACCCACTCAGCGCTACTTCCTCGAAATCCTCAATCTGACATAAACTGGGTTTGCAACCCGCAGGTACAGCCAAGATTCACTGGTAGCAACCCCTCTCCAGGCAATGCACGCCCACAGGGCCAGCGGCAGACTTTGAAGAGCCAGCAGGAGAACTAGCAGCAACTCCTCCATGAGGCTGGATGATTCCTACGTCGACAGGCTGCCCTGCTGTCGTACAAGCCAACGCTGCGGCACCCAACACTCCATAGATGTCAAGAAACCACGTTGATCCGAGTTGGGCGCCTGATCACCCCTGAGTTGCCAGCTTCAGAAAAACCAAAGTCTTGGGATCAGGAGCCCAACCTGCAGTTGCCGAGCTGCTCTGACACTGCGAAGGCGTGATCCCCCTCGCGACGGAGGGCCGTGCCGCCCTGCCTCCAGCCGGTGGCCTTTCCATCAGCGAGAAGGCCTGGCGAGGTGCTTCAGGGAACACCCATCTCGGCGCTTGGCACTCCGAGCCTGCGTTAGGCCCTCGTGCAGAGGTCGGATGGTGAGCCGACCAAGCCTCTTTGCTACTCCGTTGCTCCATGTGGTTGTCATGTCGGGTTCAGAGCCAACCGGACTTACCAGGTCCGCCACCCGTTCGTGTGGAAGAACTTGGCCAGCGCGGCTACCATGACGCCTGGCTGGTGTCGCTTGGCGATGCTTGGATATGTGCTGTACTCACATTGTCGCTGTTGCGTGTTGCGGGGCTTGCAACCAAAAATCGGCAGGACACGGACATTTGTCATCTCCCCACTGAGCCACAGACCGCGCTGGGGTGGTCTGGGCCTGCACAGGGCAGTCGCTGCCATGCCGGAAAAACCCGCGGCCGGGGCTCGAGCAGGTAGCCAAGTTCTTGCAACAGCTCTTCCAGCTTCTCCATGCTCCTGTGCATGGCAGCGCCGTCTTCAGATTACCATTTTGCACGTGGATCCAGTGGATCGCGGGCTTGGCAACTGAAAATGTCCAGCCTCTGCCTCTCTTCAGTCAAGGGCTGGTCCCCCAAGTCCGCCTGCCGCGTTCAAGGCCAGAGCCACGATCGCTCTGAGGGCTCGCAGCCGGAGGGCGTCGGGTTTAGACTTCCAGCCTGTTCCGCCAGCTCCACGTTGGAATCCAGGCGCGACGTGTCCAAATGCTCCGCCACCTGTGCCACGAAAAGCCGCCTAGTTCCCCTTCAAAGCGTTGCCCGTGAAGGCTCGAAAGCCAGCTACTGGCTACGGTCTCACTGCCTTATGCTGCCTCTGTCTGTTCTCCGGAGACGCACACCGCCACGCTCCGAACTTGGAGCTGCGGCACGGCGAGCCTTGCTGATGCGGGGACGCTCCCCGAAGAGCAGCAGCTCGTCTGCTGCCGAGCGCAGAAGTTCTTGACACCTTGCGCGGCGACAGCGCAGCGAAGGCTCAAAGAATCCGGAGATTCTGGGGGTCACACCGCGAAGGCGATCGTGCAGGGGTCACGGCAAAGGAGCGACGGCCGAGCTGACGAACCTCGTGGGAAGGCCCTAAGCGTCCGGACCCGGGTCAAGGACGATGCAGCCTTCCGCAAGACGATGGCGAAGTCCACGTCCTCAAAGAGCCAAGTCGCTGGCAGCCCCCCTTTGCCACCTAGACCTAAACGCACCGGTGTACGTTTGCCCGCACCTCCGATGCTACAGCGATGCCGAAGGCTGTGCCTGCACAGCGAAGCAGCGATTATTCGCTTGATCTTGCTTAAGCAAGACATGAATCTTCCAGCCTTTCAAGCATTCCTCCACAGCATCCACAGCCAGCATGATATCTGCCGGGTCCTATTTCAGAACATGCCTCATGCTTGTCCGACTGACAGCGCGCTCAAGGAGGTCCACCCCCGACCGGAGTCCCTACACCACTTTGCCGCACGTTTTTGTCCGATACTGTCCGGCATCCTTTGCTGCTCCCAACCGCAAGATTCCTGTCTTCCAGGCTCTCACTAGCCCTGTTCTGCTGTCTCCTTCAGCCCGGAGGAAGGCTGCGGCACCACGATCGTCTCGATACCTTCACAGGGGACTCCCCATGGAAACCCCTCGCACCACGCAATGCTGGATGCTGAACCTTGCTCTGAGAGCTGGTCCTTCCAAAGTAAAGCCTCGGGAAGGCAGCGCGCGTCCTCACGCGTTGTTTGTATCTGTCTCCTGCGAGTTGCTGAGCCCTGCGCTTTGTGCTGGTTCACATAAATTCGGCCTCGGCTTTCAAGGCGGTGACCGGCTGTGCTCGCGCCAGCCGCCAAAGACATTCTCACAAAGAAAGGAGAACAGGAAACGATCAGCCGCACACCGGAATAATCGACATCCATGTCACTGAGCATTGGGTGCTCATGGGTGCTCACACGCCAAGTGGAGAAAGCATAGCAGAACACGTCCAATCATACCAAGGACGTGGCTGTACTTGATCTGGCCGACCGACCGCACTGCCTGGCGGTGTGTTAAACTGGCACTCTACTCAAGTTCTGCAGATTCTCTCATTACCTGTATGGATGACATTTAGCGATGCAGCTCCCCCACAAGCTGTTCGGGCCGGCCAACACAAGAAAGCGAACACATGTCTGGCGTGTAATACGGGGCTCATTTGCAAGCCAGCTTGCAGCCATAGCTCTGCGGCGTCGCCTGCAGAACGGACTGTAGCGAGGTCGGGGGCACGTTGTCGCCATCAATTAGGACGGCCAGTGAGCCTCTGGCAGGTACTGCTGGCAGGCAATTCTCTCCGGCTTTCGCGGGAATCCGGGCCCCCTGCCGCAACCACGAAGTGGCCCGCACCTGGCAAAGGGTGTCTGTCACGATGCCGAGTGTGCTAGCGGTATCTTGCATCTGTGTACAGAATCTACCCTGCAGGTAGCAATGGCAACCTGCAATTTTCTTGGCAAGCACAAGGACGCTGGCTCGAGTCTTGTGCATAGGTTTGGCCGAAGGGCAAAAACTTGCCTGACACTCTGTGTCAGCATCTACACTACTAACTCCGCTGCTCATTCCCGCCCTGGCCGGTTCATTTACTCTTTTGAGGGCTTGTATGCCGCGTGCTGGCTCAGATGTCTCTGGGGATGAAGTCGCCAACGGAGGACTGGAACTCGGCAGTGGTCAAATTTGGGAGCAGCGATGGCCCCTCGCCTCAGGCCAAAGAGAGGAGACGCTTCACCGTCTCACACTTAAGCTAACAACACGCTTTCGACCCGCGAGGCTCTCGCCGGTCGAGGCGTTCCGCAGGACCATGAAGAAGAATCCAACCATGGCAAGGCGGCAGTGCTTGATCTCACGGAGCTTCATGTTGTTCCATTCCTGCCGACCCAAACGACTCCTCCCCCCCCCCCCATTTCCCACGTGGGCCCCAGCCCCGGTCGTCCCCACTCTTCCTCGGGCTGGTACGCGGCGGTGAAGGTGGGGCCGAACCTCTGCACAACCCCGATGGATGCTCTTCGGCAAGTTTGACATGAGCTGAGCGAGGGGCCACTTGGGACGGGGGCTGCTCACCGGGGCCGTCGGGTTCCAGCCCAGGTCTCCGGGCTGGACACCCTGGGAGTACTTGCTGATGACCTGCAACGTCAACCGACTTCCCTCAAGTGTCAGAAGGCTTTTGAAAGTTTGGAGAGCCCTGTAGTGCCGTTCAGGAAGCATTCTCGTAGCGCCAGAGCTCAGACAAGGCGATCACAACGATGATCTGGAGCCAACCGACGATGGGGACCTCAGAGATACAGACACCAAGGCACCTTCTCTGTCCCCTCAAGATCCTCCTTTGCCCAGCACCCCAGCACCCGGGCCGGCCTGGGTGGCCGCCTTCAGGGGATCCGCAGAGTCGGTCGGGTAGCGGGTGATGAAAGGCTCGAACTTGGCGCCGGAAGTCTGCACCTCAAAAAACAGAGAGAGAGAGAGAGAGAGAGAGAGAGAGATATATATATATAACACCAGAAAAGGCTTGCAAAAATC